CACGTCGCGCAGAACCGATTGAAGGCGCGATATACAATCCCCGCAATGACGATCGATAAACTGACGAACCGCGAAACCTCGGGATCATTCCGTGTCCCGTCTCTTCGGTTTTCTTCCGGGTCGGTCGGTAAATACGCCTCGTCCCGAGAGAGACGGGCATGAAATTTTGATGTCTACTGTTGGGGGTTTCTAGATGTATGATAATCTAATCGTGAATTGTGATTTTTTATTGATTTATATTGTGTACAATGGTTATTTGAGTATTTGGATGGAGTTGTTTGGGAATATGATTTTCATTTTAAAGTATTAGAGTTGATATTCAATGTAGATTTTAATGGCCATGTATTCCTTAATTGGTTTGTAAGTTCTTCTTTTGCAAATATAAGTGATCTTTTCGTTTATCAATTTATTTTGGGTAAAATTAATGTACATAAACGTATTATTTTAGTGAATTCCATATATTTGGGATTCAAAGATAAAACATGCTTAGCCATATATTTTTCATTTCAGTATGTCACAGTAGATTGCTTCATTTATCGATAAGTGACGCCAAGTTTAATATTCTTGCATTTATTATTTTTTAAGTAAAAGTTGTTTTCATATGTTTTTCCTGTTTGAAGATGTAAATAAATAAGCAAATCCTGCGATAAATATATCACTTCGTAAGAATAATTAAAGATTCTCGTATTTATCAATTGCAGTAGATCCAACGATGTCATAAATACTGAAAGAGAAGATATAGGAAAATTAAGAATCTAATATTCATTTCCCAGGACGGCCATTTATCGAAACCGCAAACGCGAGTACGGTCTACGTTCCTTTCGCATATTCCAGTCAAACAATTGGAAAATTGGTCAAATGAACCTCGTGTAGTTACTCAGCAATGTAAATTATACTGTCGAATGAAAAACGAACGTTCAACTTATGCTAGACGAAAAAATGACGTATTTCATTTTATAAAGGATAGTATCTAGGATTACTAAACTCCTTATTTACCAACTTTTAAAAATATTTTGTTCTAAAATACTTCTACAAGACACGTTGATTCCTTTATTAAATCTAATACAATCACTTATACGTTTCAAACGCATTTCTACCAGATGCGTTAACTTCATTAATCCTTCGAAAATTTCTTGAACTTCTAAAGACTCCATAAAAAGCTGAATTCTGCACCAAAGTTTTAAATGCTAGAAAATAAAAACATAATATATAAGTGTTTCTTTATTCGAATAACTAAATTATTCATTTTCACTTCTCGATTTTAGACACCAAAGCCATTACATCGGCATTTCACCAAGGATTAAATCTAACATAACGAACTGTCAAATTAATTTATAACAGCTACAAAAATTAATTTATATTTTACAAATGTGCAAAATATTTATAGTTATATGTTGTAATTTATACCGCACAATTTTACGAAATATTTACAGTAACTATGTTTTCTTTGAACAATCTTCAAGTATGTAAAGCAAGGGTAGCAATGTAAAGTAAGAACGACACAATGCAGAGCGTACAGGGTTCAACCCAACGGTGCAATTCGTCGGTGAATTAGTCGAGACGATAATGCACGTCTTCGCGACGTAATGCGATTCAAGCGCGGAGCTACTTCCGGGAAGCTCCTGGATGAGGATTGCGCACGCTGCGCGCATTGTGGATGGAACGAGCGGTACTGCAATGGCTTCGGTGACAATACATCTATGTAGTCGATACGAATGTGTTCGCGATACGGAAAACGTCACTGTACTGGCCGGATTTGTAATTAGTGGAATGTGGATTTTGTATGTCCGTGATTAATGCAGCAGCTGTCTTGTAACCAACGATGAGAGTTGGGGGATGATTACTCTAATTAACGAAACAAGTCGAAACTATCGGAAGAAATTATTTTATATATTAACTATTGTTAAAAGTAGAAAGGGTGAATCATTTAGTATTTGAAACTTGATCTTAATTAACCTTTTTTCATTTATTTTGTTTTTGTATTTATAATGAATTACTGATTCTTAGTTTGTATTGTGATTTACTGAACATTATGTTTGTCTCGCAATATTTCATAAAATTGAAGGAAGAATATTCGAAATTTTATATATAATTAGTTTCAGTAGTTTTTATTTCGCTTTAAACATACTGCCGACTCGGCGGAATGAATTTTCATTTAATTTCTGGGTTGTATGGATTCCCCTAGGAAAATAATGAATTCGCAGAGTCATCCACAGTCTAGTCACGAGGCAATCCGTGCTGCGTTAAGTTTTATTTTTGCCCAAACAATTTTATGTTTCCGGGATTAAACTGGACTCGCGGAAATAATGAAAAAAGTTCGTATGAATACGTGTCTCATCTGACCTTGTTCCCAAGTTGCAAAAAGTCTTTATTGGGTTGGTACATATGAAATGTCGTTTCGTGCGGGGTATAGCGACATTTGTGTTAAAAGAAAGTATAACGTTACTCGGAAAACATAATTGCGACTCGCGTAATCGGGAAACTTGCAAAATAGAAAGTTGATATTATTAGGTCGTCCCACAAGTTCGTGCCGTGCTGTGTTAATACTTCTAGTGTTATGTTTTGTAATAACAGAGCGATACGCGACTAAACTGTTTCAGTTTAGTCAGCAGAAAGTATTCGAGGGCGACAGGTTGTGAAGTTATAAAAATTTGATGTTCAG